CAAACCAGGGAAGATAGGGAGGCTAATGCATATCTTGTGTATGGCGCCCGATTTGGCAGGCATGATCAGAGAGTGCCTACTGAAATGAGTCCCAGGGGAGACATGGGGGGTGAGGGGGATGAAGGGTCAGGTACCCCCCCAAATGCAGAGGGGGAAGAATAAGAGGCCAGCAGCCAGTGGGAAGAGTCATTGCCCCTGGGCCCATGTTTTGGCTGGGGCTGGATTCCTTTGCTTTCTGCAGCCAGTGAGTGCAGAGTGCACCCCTTCTCTCTTCCCCCAAGCAATGTGGCCTGGGGGGATTAATGGGGGAGGGGGCAGATGCAGACTGCAGGATCAGGGGCCCCCTGCATTCAAGGGCAGTGGGAAGTGTAGCGATTTGGCCACAAACTACTGTGTTCCCTCCAGCTCCCAGCATTGCTCCGCCTTCTGCTGCTGGTGAATGCAGGGCGTCCCAACCTCTGCAGCATGCTCCAGGTCCCCGGATAATCCCCTGGGCTACATTGCTTGGGGAGGGGGTTCTGCACTCCCCGGCAGTGGGAATTGAGCAACCTGGCTAGGAACTGGCAGGGCAGAGCTGAGCAGGCTGGGGCTAGGTCACTCAGCTTCCTGCTCCTAGTGGTGAGGGCTTGGGTGGAGTGGGGGCAGGGCATGAACTGACTGGGTTCTCTTCCCTGAGGATAACGGGTGGAACAGGGAGGAGACACCTCGGCAGTGATCACGTTACCTGTGCTTCCCAGCCTGTGTTCCTTAGCACCGCTAATCGATCCTATTCAAAATCTGGCTGAAGGGGGAGGACATGACACTACCCACCTCATAACTTTTATCCTAGTGGTTAGAACACTCATGCAGGATATGGGAAACCTGGGTTTGATTCCCCTGTGAGAGGGAGAAAAGATTTGAATAGATGTCTCCCATAACCCATGTGAGCACTCTATCCACTGGAATAGTAGTTACAAGGCTGGGCCTACTTCTTCCTCTGGCTGTTTTGTTGGCTATACATCTGCCTATCTCAATCTCTCAAAGAACAGGTAAGGCACCTAAACCACCTGACTCACGACAGGGTATTCCAGGTGCTTACATGCAGACTGGATTCTGGCAGTGAACTCTATGATGGAGTTTGACTTAATCTTTGGTCAGCATCTCCCATTGGCTGGTTTAGCAAGCGCCCTACCTAGTATATTGGCAGTTGTGAATCTGTCTGAGGTGCAGCTCTCTCCCTATTCATTGTATAGGGAGTTTAGGCTCCTTACTCAAGATTTGTGAAACACGTTGGTGTTCCTGTGACTTTCTTAGTGCCTAAAAACTAGATGTTGTGAGACAGTGTTGCTATGCCTTGATCACCTTTGTGACTCTAGCCACTTGGCCTTCCCCTTACTGCTAAAAATTATGGCTACGTCTACACTGGCCCCTTTTTCGGAAGGGGCATGCTAATTTTGAAAGTGGGAATAGGGTAGTAGGAATAAGAGATCCTCCGGAATAGGGCTTTATTCCGGAGGATCGGGCCAGTCTAGACGCTTTTTTTCCGGCTTTTCCCCAAGATGGGAAAAAAGCGGCGGACATGTTTATTTAAATCCGCGGGGGATATTTAAATCCCCCGCGGATTTCCCTATTCCCACTTTCAAAATTAGCATGCCCGTTCCGAAAAAGGGGCCAGTGTAGACGTAGCCTATGATTTTTGTTTGGCCTTGTTAACTTGGGGTAACTAAGATGTGGGAGACAAAAACAGTGACAAGAAGGCACTTTATTTGAACAATGAGGGAAAAGCCTGAGGAAATATCTCTGGAATAAGATCTTGGGCACTCATCCACTCTGGAACAAGATCTTCCACTCATCTGCAGAAGTGGGTTGTGCCCACGAAAGCTCATGATACAATGTATATTTTTATTAGTCTCTGAGGTGGTACAGGACCACTCATGTTTAAGGTTTTTTTTAAGCTACAGATTAATACTGCTACCCCTCTTAGACTTTTGATCAATATGTGTAACTGGGGGTGGAGGGATAGGGTAGGAATGGAAGATATTCTGCGGATTGAGAAGAACGCATTGTAAACCGTATTTGAAATGCATTTTAAAGTGTTTAGAAAAACAAAAATGGTTTTACTCTAGAAACTAATCTACAATGCAAAGTGACTAAGCTCAGTAACATATTGTGTCAGTGCACCCCCGCCCAGCACGGCCAGGCCCTGCACTGGGAGCTGGGGGAAGGGGAGGGCAGACAAGGGGCTGGAACATATGACCTATGAGGAGAAGCTGAGGGAGTTAGAAATATTTAGTCTGCAGAAGAGAAGAGTGAGGGGGGATTTGATAGCAGCCTTCAACTTCCTGAAGGGGGGTTCCAAAGAGGATGGAGAAAGGCTGTTCTCAGTAATGACAGATGGCAGAACAAGGAGCAATGGTCTTCAGTTGAGGTGGGAGAGGTCCAGGTTGGATATTAGGAAGAACTATTTCACTAGGAGGGTGGTGAAGCACTGGAATGGGTTACCTAGCGAAGTAGTGGAGTCTCCATCCCTAGAGGTGTTTAAGTCTCGGCTTGACAAAGCCCTGGCTGGGTTGATTTAATTGGGATTGGTCCTGCCTAGAGCGGGGGGCTGGACTTGATGGCCTTCTAAGGTCTCTTCCAGCTCTATGGTTCTATAAGCCATTGAGAGCCCTTCCCACATCAGTCACTGCAATTGCCCACGCGTGTCTCCAGGACGGGGCCCGCGCGCGGGAAGGAACTGCTGCCGGAGCAGCCGGGGACGGGAGCGGGGTGTAACATGAGACCGGCCGCCCTTCCGCGGGCGGAGCGCCGAGCTCTCTCTCCTTCCAGGGCAGCGAGGCCCATGCCGGGGGCGCAGGCAGGGGTCGGAGGCGGCGGCTGCGCGGGGCTCGCACGCC